AATTTAAAAAAGGGAAATGGTGATAACATTTGTGCCAATCACTAAGTTATGCTCTCTACATGAATTCTTTTATTTCTCAAAGCAACTCATTGAAGAAAGTCCTCTTATTCTTGTGTTACAAAAAAAAAAAAAAAAAAAAAAAAAAAAAAGCACTGAGGTTTGGAAAGGTTAAGTGAATCACCGAAGATAAATGACACAGTTTCACAGAGGCAGACCCTAGATTCAAAACCAGCCAGTCTAGACTCCAATCTACCAACTTTAATTCACAGAAAACTACAATAAATATTACAAAATAAGGTATCTGGTAGACCAATCAATTGGAATTTGAGTTTCATTGATCAGTTAACTCTAATTTTAGTGATGTCATTATCAATATATAAGAAACTTTCAAACAGATTATCTGAGAGTTCAACAGAGTATTTGCACAAATATTTTTTTAGTTTCAATAACCTTGTGATGTAGGCAGAATAGGTATTATCCTTAAGAGAGAAGAAGCATGACACTGATTGGATAGGTGACTTTTTCCAAGTCACACTAACTACTAACTAGGCAGGTTTAGATTTTAATTAAGCTCTTCATCCCTAAGCAATTCTACCATATCATTCTACTATCTTTCTCCAAGCTGAAATACTTATAGCACCTTTATTGGCTCCACAAAAATATCCAGAATCTGTATGACAAATAAGCCCTAATTTTTCATACTGCATATACTAGAGACTGGGTTGTCATCCAGGAAGTATAGTATTATCCTTTATTTATGAGATGAAGAAATCAAGGCTTAGTGAGGAAAGTTTGCAAATGGCAGAGCCAAAATGCAAACCTAGGTTTGACTTCCAAGTTTGCACACCTAGTCACTACTGGAGCTTCCTCTTACTCTCAAACTCCCTCTTAACCACAACGTGGGTGATCCACGTCCCAAGATTTCTACTTTGTGATGTGTACGTAAGAGATCAGCCAGATCCAGTAACATCCGGCCTAATTCTCTTCTTAGATAACTACAATGCCACGTTTATCTGATGTTGTCACTTCCTACTATTCATGAAACCAAGAGCCTGCAAACTAGGGTCTTTACCTATGCACTTCAAATCAGAGGCGATGACTGTCTACCTAAAGCAGAAGTAGGCCTACATGTTTTGGGTACTCTGCTGGAGCTAAGATTTCTCAGGCAAGACAGAAAATTAAGGAAAGGGAAATAAGAGATAATACATATGTCAATCATTGAGTTATGCTCTGTACATGAATTCTTTCATTTAGTAAGGTGAAACTTAAATACAATGTATTTAGGATCAATTTTCATATCACAAATGCATCCATATTCATAATGTAAGATCTAAATATAAACTGAAGCGAAAAAGCAAGTCAACAAAAGCTATGCCTTCCCTATCACTGAACTAAGTGAAAGTTAACAATCACAGGCTATAAAAAAGGGAAACTGTAAAAAATGTCCTGAATAGTTACTACTATCTGGAAGTCCAAGCATTTTCTAAAGGATGGTAGAGAATCCTTATATCTCCAAGAACGGCTAATCATAATTTTCACAGAAGAAAGACCTGGTTTATCAAAATAGACTGGCAATCAAAATAAGCCTTGAACAAGAAACCCAAAAAGAACTTGGGCCCTAACCAGCACAATACCCTGACTCCCCACTCCCCGCCAAAATTTATAAAGCAAAAAGCAACATAAAACAGCAAGGAATTAAAACAACAAATTTACTTTCGAAGGGCTATAAACGGGGTTAAATAAGCTTGAATTTTCAATAAAGTATAGAATACAACCAGTTATTCCATAAATGTAAAATGTATATAGCCGTATTTCAATTTCATACTAACTGAAAAGAGGCAATAAAAGAGGCAGGCTTATATGTGGACAATTTCATTTTTAAAAAGTAGAGCAGGGTACCCAAAGTCTAATGTTAATAAACTGCTAGAAAGAGCATCAGCCGGGTGGTGGCTCACGCCTGTAATCCCAGCTACTTGGGATTACACAAGGTCAGGAGTTCAAGACCAGACTGGCCAACATGGTGAAACCCTGTCTCAAATAAAAAATACAAAAGTTAGCTGGGCATGGTGGCTCACGCCTGTAACCCCAGCTACTTGGGAGGCTGAGGTAGGAGAATTGCTTGAACTGGGACCGGGGACGCGGAGGTTTCAGTGAATTGAGATCTCTCTACTGCACTCCAGCCTGGGCTACAGAGTGAGACTCCATCTCAAAACAAAACTAAACAAAACATACACTGTGACAATTCTTAACTTTCTACAAACCCCTTTGTGAATCTTATCAACAAATGCTTTGCTCAGAAAAACATGTGTATGTTTATCTGTAATTTCAAGGGATATAGATCCCATGAAGTCTATTCTTGGGCCACTTTTTAAGAATCCCAAGAGTGGAAGCAAAGAGCTCTGGACAGCCTTTTGACTTCTATTTCTGGCCCTGCCACCTTGTTATCTTAATTCAACAACTTTGTCTCTCTGGATCTCAGTTTCATCTGTTAAATATTTTTTTTTCTTTTTCAGGCTGAATAGTATTCCGTTATGTGAACACACCACACTGTTTATCCATTTATCTGTGATGGACATCTAGGTTGTTTCCACTTTTGGCTGTGTGGGGGAGGTAATAGACAACATCTATTTATTTATTTATTATTTTTGACAACATCTATTTATGAGGCACAATGATGTTTTGATCGATGTATACACTATTGAAAGATAAAATCAAGCTAAGTAACATATCTATCATCTCAGCTACTCGTTTGTGTGGTGAAAAATATATGCTTCTAGCAATTTTGAAATATGTATTATGCTGACACGTGTTACCACATGGATGAGCCTAGAGGACATTATGCTATGTGCAAGCAGACAGACACAGAAGGACAAATGTTGCATGATTCCACTTATATGAGGTACCTGGAATGAGCAAATTCTTAGAGACAGAAAGGAGAACAGAGGTTATCAGGGGTTGGGGGAAAAGGAAGTTCTGTTTGGGGTGATGAAAAAGTTCTGGAAACAATAATGGTGATGGTTACGTAACACCGTGAGTGCTGTCAGTGTACCAAATGCCACTGAATACTGTAACCGAAATTTACTGTTTTAACCATTTTTATGTTACGTATATAGGGAAAGGAGAAGGAAAGGGGGAAAGGAGAAGGAAAGGAGAAAAGGAAACCAAAAACAAAATGACAATTCTTGTTCCTTTAGCAACTGAAATTCTAGCAAATTCTACTAGAATCACATTCAAACTGATTTGGGACAATCGCCCCCTTTCGGTTTTTTAATTGCTAGTTATGACTCAGCACTTTTTCTAAGCTTCAGAACAGTAAAATCCCAGAATTCAAGTGAAGCCTTAGATCTGCAGCAAGGTGCTCATCCTTTCCTATCTGCGTTCTCTACTTGGGAGATTTCTCAGGTTGGTTTTCCCTCACCAATCTATCTTCAAAAGGAGATAAGTGGCTTTCCACATGTAACAGAGGTAGTACTTTAAAGCAAGCAAAAAAAGTCCAGAACAAACACACTCTAGTTTCCTTAAAGCTATGCTGCAATAACAGTCTTGTGACATCCCCTCCAAGGATAAAACGAAGCTGTTGTAATCACTTTATTTCCCCATTTGGATGGCAGTCCTTAACCAACTCTGCTTCCCAGCAAAAAATCAAATTTAGAGGAAATTCATTTAAACATCACAGTAGTTATGTGGAGTTAACTGTTTCAACTTCCGGAACAAGGCCTCTTTTCCTAAGGCCATGAAGCCAACAGTAGAATGAATCCAATCGTTGGCCAGATGGGAAGTGTGAAGGAGTAGAATGCATCACTCCCTGGAATACTGTCTTAGGAGAGCTCAGGTATCCGAAGCTCATTTGAGGTAAGTGCCCCTCCTACCAGCACAGTATCTGTAGCACGCGTCGGAAAGCTTTCTGCAAAGAACCGTCTGTCTAGCGTGACAGGGAAAGTTATTAGCTTGGCAACTGAAGCAAGAAAAAACTGTTTATATAACCATAAGTAGCATTATATTCTGAGATCTCTTCTTGGTCCTTCCAGACTATATACACAGCTAAAAACGGTAAAACATAAAGCACAACTAAATTAAATTTGACATGAGCAAAATATATAAGAATTTGCTAATACTGACTCAATTTGCAAAGGTCCCTCAATTGCTAAAGAACACAGACCCAATGGGGTTTATACTTGTTCAGATAATGTGGTGGAAAAGATTATAATAACCACAAAACTATTAGAAAAACATATTAAACAAAAGAAACTATTCTTGAAACTTCTTTATACAAACAATCCAATAAAAACTTTTGGCTGCTCTAGTGCATTTATTTTATTTATACAAGAAAAAAAAAAGAGCACTCTTCAAATATTTTGACTAACTACCTTCCTCTAGAGAATTTTTAAAGAGTCAGAAAATATAATAATTGAGCCTGAAGACAGACAGGATTTCCTATTGCACATTTCCAGGACAATTCAGCTGCTTTTATTGCTGTTCATATGAAGAAACCACTGCTCTCAAATTTTATTCACAGAGACTACATTCAATCCAGAACTTAAATGTTTACCATAGTTTCTGTATGCAATTATAATATGAAAGTACTGGTTTCTAATTAATTAACTCTTTCAAGTCTTAAAACATACCAGAAAAAAATGTATGACATAAGAAATCTGTTCCCTCCTGTACTAAACCAAGAAAAGCTGTATACATTGGTAATGTTATATACTACCTCCACAGACAAGGCTTGTTCTGACTTTTGAGTAAAATAGTAAAGTACAAGAGAGAAGTGGAGAAGGCAGAGAGGCAGAGGAGAGAGAAAATGGTAATATGACTCACGTTTCTCTCTGACAATCAAGTGGTTAGCAGGAGCAAGCTTACAAACCCACAGCAGAAGGCAAGGTACAGAGTTGAGGTTATAACTCGTTGCAGACTCACTGAGATGCCATGTGGGCGGTACTGCTACGAATGGGGGTGGGGCTGAGGATGAGAGGAGAGAAATAAGGAGAAGGAGCACTTACTCGGTTAGAAGCTGGTGCAGCTTGTGATAGCCTCGCTCCAAGGCCAAGCTCACAGGCGTCGCCCCTTCCTGGTTGTGGATGCTGAGAGCTCCTCGGCCACCTGGCTTCTGCAACAGAAACCACGTCAACCTCAGCAGTCCCAGCCGCACAGCAAAATGCATCAACGTCTCTCGTGGGCCAGCATCTGTAAATGAGGGAGAAAATGAACGTTAAGTGAGGGGAATAGGAAAACAAAAAGCAAACAAACATAGAAACAAGTTATGTAAACACTGCTGCCTCCAAGTGCCTAAGACTGTAAAGTTAAGCTACAACACACAGTGTGAACAGCTCTATTGTGGCCAGGTAGAATCAGCCCTAAAGTAAAGGCAAAACAAAGCTACAAAAGCTTAGAAAGTACAGCACAAGCTTCCATAGAACACAGCTCTGCAAAAAGAGAATCAAGCCATTTCTATATTCTGACTTAACATACAGTGTTTGTTCAACCAACGTCATAGGCAGGCATATAGACATGACCCCCCCAATACACATTTTTTACTCAAATAATAGAAGCAAATACAGCCCCACAACATGAGGTCCAACGGGAAATAGCTGTTAGGACTTAAATGGGTGTATCATAAAGGATATAATTACTTTTTATAAGAACACCCAGGCAGGAGTTAGCTAAACACTAAAAACAGGTTCTGCTTGTTCAGTACACATGGGGCTTTTTATTCCTAGGGTCTGGAGTCAGACCAATCTGAACTTCACTTTCTTCATCCCTGAATTGCCATACCAACACCTCACTCACAGAGTTGAAACAAACGAGAAGATGTGGGTGAAATGTCACTACTATGACTGGCTGTAGTAGATACTCGTTAAATGCCGGTTCCCCTGTTCCCCTGCTCTCTTCACTGTCCTCCTGGACTTCAAATTACATTCAAGGTTCACTAGCCATACCCTCTTTCTCAGCAGTCCTCTTGTGCCCAACCTGTGGTGATAGGAACTAAGGTCTCTGCAGGGATGTCACATACGGCCCCACAAGGCTGTATTACACTCAACTCCAGGGAGTTGTGCCTGCCTCGGCGTAGCTATCATCTCTCATTATTCATGGCTTCCCACGGGTCTCAACTTCTTCACGGAGCACTCAGACTTTTTAGACCCCCAGTGGTTTTCTCCTTACTGCGAGGTACTCCAATGCTTCTATATGTGAGTATTACAAAGGAATGAACAGATTTTTGAAGCTGTGATTTTAAACTCAATTACACTGTTTCCAAATGTCATCTGTTTATTAGTCTGGTATCCCCATTTCTAAGGGTAATTTCCTTGGAAGCACAATTTTCCACCCTGTATCTTTCCCTACAGAACTGTATACACACTGACCAATTCAGGATTTATAGGGTGTTTCAGCAGAGGCACAGGGCTGGAAAGGTTATACCCCAGAAGAAACAACTACATGAGCAGGTACAAATCTTAATAATCAACACCTCTGAACAGGTGGCAAGACAGACAAAAGGACAAATAGAATCCTCACAAAAGATCAAATAGCACCATTTAACTTGTGCCTTACAGTTGTTCTGACATCTTTACCAAAAACAAAAGAGCTAATAAGGCACTAACTAGGAAACGTGATTTTTTAGAGGCCACTTGATTCCACCTTGGAAGCAGTTGTCTCTTTACCACCGTCCCACAACCACTCTTCTGATTTGTTATGTGTTTTGAATCGGCTCGGCATTTGCGTAGAAATCCCAATAATACAGCCATGCACCTGCTCAGAAGCTGACGCCCAGACTCCTGCACTACACCCTCTCTCAATTTCTTAAAGTCTTAGTAACTGGTACCCTACATCTGCTTTTCTGTAGACCCTTTCTGAGCATAAGAGATTACGAGAAAACAATGGAGTGAGGACTTGCTATGCACCTTGCACTGGGCTAGGCAGTTTATGTCAACTTTTTCCATTCTATCTTCACAGTAACCCTATGAAGTCTGGTTATCTTCATTGTGCAAATGAAGGTGAATTCAAATCAGGATTTAAAATCGAAAGTTCTTCTGTCTTGCATCTTTTAAAAAAACAAAAACAAAAACAAAAACAAAAAACACACCTTTTCCATTACTTCCCCGTTTCTGTTGGGAAATAAAAACAAGCAATCATACAATCAAGCTAAGTTAAGGTGCTTTAAAAAGTACCTTTTCGTATTTTCCTCCAACATTTTTTTTAACTTTTTCAAAGTACACATAATTGAAAGAATTATACTGCAAATAACCAGACACTCAACCTAGATCCTACAATTAATGCTTTTCTCTATTTGCTTTATCACATATCTATCTAGTTATTCTTCCCTCTATTTCCCCATCCATCCAACTTTTTTTATGCATTTCAAAGTAAGTTGAAGATATCAGTCCACTTCACCCCAAAATACTTCAGCATGCATGTAATTAGCATTCAATATGTAGCTACAATTTTAGGTGACTTATATACAATGAAATGCAAATGGTACAGTACGCCCATTTGATAAATTTTGACAAACGCATATACACCTCCATCAACGTACAGAACATTACCAACATTCAAAAAAGTCAGTTTGTGCCACTTCCCAGTTAATCCTCTCCTCCTCATTCCTAGAGTTAAGCACTGTTCTGAATTTTTCACCTGTCTTGGTTTTGCCTGTTCCACAACTCCATATACAAATGAAATTACAGAATATATACTCTTGTGTAAGCCTTCTTTGAGTAGCACATTTAAGATTCATCCACATTGCTGCACGCAGTAGTATATTCCCTTTTGTTGCTGAGTAGTCTGCTGCACGCATATACCCCCAGTTTTAGATATTTTCCCATTAATTTCTTACACAAATTTGTGAGACTGAATTTATCAGATTCAGGGATCATGTGAATTAGGTTTGTAGAAGAGGTCAAGGTACAAAGGGATAAACAAATGAATATATGAATGTAGTCTCCTTTAGTCTGTGCCGTTTTAAGAACATGAAAGCTTCCATCACTGCTTTTCTTCCTTTTGTCTGTTTAAACTGCAGAGAGCTCAGTAACTTCAGATCCATCTCTGTTCTCTATTCTCTTTATCAGTACTCCTCTGTATTCTGAGTTGTTCAACTTTGTTTTTTAGATCACTAATGGCCTTTCCTACAACATCAATTGGGTACTTTGTCCCCAGTGTGAATTAATTGTGCTTTAGGATTCTGGATGTCTGCACTATTTTTGCAAACTCACTCCCTTTCCATCCTTGTTGTCACCATAACAGCTTTTTTGCAGCTGTAGTTAAAGCCCCTAACCAGCTGATCTAACAAGGAAGTTTATCCTGGATTATCTGGGTAGGCCTGACTGCATCAACTGAAAGGCTTTAAAAGCAGGGCTAAGGTTTCTCCTGCAGAGAAGCAATTCCATTCCACCTGTGGAGGACAGCACCAGCCTGTGGCTGTGGAGCTCCATCTCACACACAATCTCCCCTTCCTCACATGAAATTTTCGCTCATGTTGGTGGGCTGACTTTGCCCATGACATTCCCTCCCCCTCCTGCCCTACACATTAGCCCTCACAATCAAAGGCACCATTCCTTACACAAAACCTTAACGTATTTCTCCTAGAGGTTCTGTTTCTCTACCTTGAACACTGACTAATATAAAACCTACTTTTCTCCTGGCTGTCTCCTTCTCTAATTTCATAATAAATCTGATCTAACTAAGCTCTTTAAAGGACAAATGGGAAATATCATCTAAAGTGTTTTTTTGTTGTTGTTTCTTACAGAAAGCACATACTCAGAGAATCTTCCATCTGATTACTTATGATACTTTTCTTTATGCTGCAATGTTATTTCACAGACCTCATGTTGGCTGGATATCCTGTTTAGCCACACTTAATTGGAAAGGTCTCTGTAGTCTTAGCTTCTACCCACAGAGGAGGAAGGTGGAAAATGTCTCATGTCCTGCTTTCTATTTACCTATATGCTGGACACACTTCTCACACACCTTCCCTCCGGATCTGCAACAAAAGCTGATGTGCCTAGTAGGCATTCAAGCATGATGAGCCTGCTAGAGGGGTGTATATTTTTCAGATGGTCAGATTCTCTAAGTAAAATGCTCTAATTTCTGAGCATCAGTACAATAATCAAGGACTACTTTCCTAACCTATCAATCCACCTAGCAAGCCCTGCTCCCAGTACTCTTTGAATCGATTCCTATGATTCCAAAGTCACCATTCTTTGTACTATTCTGGACAGCCTCTTAAAAAACCTAAAGTCCCACATGATATAGGAATTCTCAGCTGCATGTGAAAGGAAGCAGAACAGGCCAGTGTGAGAAAATGCAGTTGTGGAAAAATGAGACATGTAACCTTGTGACAAAAACAAGGTTTGAGAGGCAACAAAATCTTTTGGAATTCAAGTCCTGACACTACTAGTCTTGGGATCAATAAATACTAATCTTCTGCCAAGAAAAAAAAAAAACTAGCAGTTTTAAAATATGCTATTTTCTTTATAGCAGTGATGATAGCTGAAAAAGGACAAAAACAATAATGTAGCTAAGAAAAAATTTTATGAAGAGCTATCAAACACTTTGAAGGAGGGTGGGAACTAAAATCATCAAATGATAAGGTGGATGACCTGTTAACCAACATCAGATATGCAGAACTGGGAATACACAGGCTGTTCTTGGTGTAGTTTTTCCTCAATCTGTCTTCCTCCTCTCCACCCAAATTTCTCTTTGGGGGAGAATTCTTGCCCCCGAAGATAATCAGATCTTCTTTACACTTGGTTATACAACATCATGAGCAAGTAAGAATGAAGATTTCCCGCAGGACATTTCTTCCTGCTTCCTCTAGAGCAAGTCCACAGTGGGCCCACCCTGAGTTACCTGGGAGTTATGCTGATTGCTACTGCACAAGGGTTTCTCAGGGAGAAACAGTCCTAAGTTTACCATTTTCACCAACCACCAAGCTGAGAAACTAAGTGAGACTTGGACAACTCAGAGAGGAAAAAAAATGTTCTTGCCCCCTCATTCACCCTCGACCCAGATGAATCCTTATCACCTGAATTTAAGGCAGAACTGTGGCCAACAGTACAATGTAGAAGCTTCTTTATGCAACTAGGGATCAGAGAACACTTGGAAGATTTAAAATGACAAACTCCTTCTTGTTCATATTTAAAGTCTAGATTAATTTTTGTAACAAGTAAAACATCAATGTTTTGCATCTCTAAATGGTACATTCAAAATGAATAGCTTACAAATTAGCACACATTATCAGAATACACATTCCTCCATTTCACAGATGAGGAAATTAAGTAACAGAGAGAGTAAGTGTTTTGCACAGACTCTTGCAATGAAGCCAGGATGCAAACAAACTGACTCCAATGCCCATGCGATTCCCACTCAGCAATAGCAAAGTTAAACCCAGAATTCTTAGCTTCATGCTCATGGCTGAAGTTCAGGGAGACTAGGAAATTTATCATACGTAAATGTTTGCAGGTAGGCACCTATAAACATTTTTTCCTGAGGAGAAACCTAAGCAATTTCCAAAGGAGTCACTGACCTGAAGAAAGCTAAAAAGCAGTGCACCTGAACACTTAGAAGAGTAGGAGGATTAGCCATGAATCTCACATACTACTTTGTGTAAGTATTAAGCTAGAATACCTGTAAACATCCTAGCTTTCAACAGCAAGAGGTCCTGTTATATAACAAGGTGCCCTATTTGCCTGTACTACCTCAGGCATCACGCTTACTTTGTCCTCTTCTGCTTTAAATATCTATTTAAAAGTATTTGACGTGCAACTCATTGATTTGAATAGACTATTCCATTACATTCGTCCCTCAACAGCAGGCATAATGGGCTCTTAACTGATGCTACTCTGCCCTTACTGTACCCAGTGTTCCTAGATTCTAATCAACAATGGATATGACAATGTAAACTGCAGAATGTGAACTGAGCACTCAAAATCAGATTCCTGATCCCAGTTGTTGACTTAAAGGCAGTTCCATCAAGTCACTTCCATGCATTTCACCTTGCAAAGTATATACCTAACTTACACAATTTCTTTTGTAATTGATTATTAAATATATGTACAATAAAATTCACCTTTACAGGGTGTACATTCCTATGAATTTTAACACAGGCATAGATTCTCATAGCCACCACCACAAACATGATACAAAACACCTCCAACAACCCAAAGAATTCCCTCACAATAGTCCTTTGCAGTCAGACATTCCCCCGCTCCCAGCCCCTGGCAACTACTAATCTATTCTTTTTCCGTAATTTTGCATTTTCCAGAACATCATATAAATAGAATCATATAGCAAGTAAACTTTAGAAACCGACTTCGTTTTCCTAGCATAATGCATTTAAAACACATCCGAGTTGCTGCACATACATGTCAAGAGTTTGCTTCTTTTGCTGAGTAGTATCGCATTATGTGGATCTCTTACAGTTTGCTTCTATATTCACTCAGTGAGAGAATTGGGTTACTTCCAGTTTTTGGTGATTATGAATAATGCTACTATGAGCACATCTGTGCACAGACTTTTTGGTAACTTTAAGTCTTCATTTCTCTAGGATAAATACACAAAAGTGGGATTACTGGGTCATATGCTAAGTGTATGTTTAACTTTACAAAAAACTGCCAAATTTTTCTAGAGTGGTTATACATTTTGCATTCCCACAAGCAAAATGAGATGTTCTTCATCTCTGCCAGCACTTGGTATTCTTCATCATAGCCATTATGATAAATGTGTAATGGTATTTCATTATGGTTTTAACATGTATTTCCTTAAGTATTCAGATTTGGTTTGCCCTCTGTTAACACTGCTTGAGCAATTTTCTACAACAGAAAATTTACCAGTACACTAACAGCACAGAAAAAAAATATTAAAGCTGGCCAATTCCCTCCTACTAAAAACACGGAAGTTAAAGGCCCAAAGAGAGGAGGTGGCAGGGCACGGTGGCTCATGCCTGTAATCTTGGCACTTTGGGAGGCTCTGGCAGATGGATTGCCTGAGCTTGGGAGTTCAAGACCAGCCTCGGCAACATGGTGAAATCCCATCTCTACTAAAATACAAAAAAAAAAAAAAAAAGGGAGCCCGAAATGGCAGTTTGCACCTATAATCTCAGCTACTTGGGAGGCTGAGGCAGGAGAATTGCTTGAACCCGGGAGGCAGAGGTTGCAGTGGGCCAAGATCGTGCCACTGTACTCCGGCCTGGGCGACAGACAAGGACTCCATCTCAAAAAAAAAACAAACAAAAAAAAACAACAAAAAAAAACAAAACAAAAAATAAAACAAAACCCAGAGGAAGAGATACGTTCAAAGTTTCAGATGTTTGCTTTTTCTAATAGTTGTTTTTAATCATGGTAACATAAAACTATCCAACTCCTAGGCCCTCTTCAAACAAGACAAAACAAAACCATGAAACACCATAGGCCCCACAAATAACTAATGCAGTATTATTTTGACACTAACTTGTGAAAAGCAGCCAGAATAAACATTCCCCTATCAATACAGTAATGGCAGGAGTGGCCAGGTGTGGTGGCTCATGTCTGTAATCCCAGCACTTTGGGAGGCTGAGGCGGGCAGATCATGAAGTCAGGTGATCAGGACCATCCTGGCTAACAGGGTGAAACGCCATCTCTACTAAAAATACAAAAAATTAGCTGGACGTGGTGGCGCATGCCTGTAATCCCAGCTACTCAGGAAGCTGAGGCAGGAGAATTGCTTGAACCCAGGAGGCAGAGGTTGCAGTGAGCTGAGATTGTGCCACTGCACTCCAGCCTGAACAACAGAGTTAGACTCCATCTTTAAAAATTAAAAAAAATAAAGAAAAGAAAAGAAATGGCAGAAGCTAGAGGTATTCAAGCCCATCACAGGGTTTCTGAAAAGGCACTCAAGCGCTGTATAATGTCAAATACTCTGATCTCTAAATATTAGCAAGATGTTTCTTGGATACTATAGTTTAAAAAAGAGGAAGGAAAGAATGAAGCCTTTCTTCCTTGATTTGATACTTCCTTTCAGATTTTACCTGGGCAGTACTATCCAGGTAGTATCTGACAGTATGCCCCTGACAGTATGGGACACCATTCTGACAGCTGATCGCAGGCTTAACTGTTAAATTTAGATGTAAGAGAATCACAGTCGGCAAAGACCTCTACCATTCTTCCACGAAAGAAGACAAAACTTTGAGTGTAGGAACTAAGTATGCCATGACTCGGGCCCCTCTGGGTATTGCTCCTCAGGAACTGCTCACCCAACATAATTCAATACTCAAGGTTGGTGGGCTCTGTAGGGCAGTGGCGTCAATGATCAGCTTTTTCATTGAAGACATAGAAACTACAAGCAGATCCTTCTGGCAGCAGCTGTAACATCAGGCTTCTAATCTAGATTTCATCAGTAATAAAGTAAACATGTTGATCTCTATTTCAGGACTCCTGAATTGTTCGACTGGACTTGAACTCAGGAGGGAAACTAAATGTTACTCATTGAACTCCGGGTACACTTTATGTTTCATTAAAAAGTATCTATACAATTATGACATCAAGTAGATGTCATTTGCTACCAGAATTATGTGGGAAAACTCGTTTGAATAAGAGGACATACTTACATACTTACTATGTAAATGTTTTTTCAAAAAGTGAAGTCCTGGCTGGGTGCGGTGACTCACACCTGTAATCCTAGCACTTTGGGAGGCCAAGGCAGGTGGATTACCTGAGGTCAGGAGTTCGAGACCAGCCTGACTAACATGGTGAAACTCCATCTCTACTGGGGGGAAAAAAAAAAAAAATAGCTGGGCATGGTGGCGCATGCCTGTGATCTTCACCCAGCTACTTGGGAGGCTGAGGCAGGAAAACTGCTTGAATTCAGGAGGCAGAGTTACAGTGTCGAGATAATACCATTGGACTCCAGCCTGGGCAACAAGAGTGAAACTCCCTCTCA